TTGACTTCCTTGACAGCTTCAAGAAACTTAGCGCCATCTTCTCTGTTGTAAGGACGTGGCAAGCAACCATACTTAGTCTTATAAGAATGAAGAGCCTGAATAGAAAGAGAGAAAATGAAGATATGCACGTATTTTATGTCACCTGGAATCCAATGTGGAGCTGTGCTGGTCGCTCAAACTTTGCAAAATCAGATATTAAGATCTCTGGCTCATTCAATGAGTCCTTAATAGATTTCTAATGCACATAAAAATAAAAATAAAACTATTAAAGCTAAGAATAAAATATGTGTAAGGATTAACAAAGAAACAAATAACAATATCAAAATAAACAAAGAAGAGTAAACTCACGAAATTAACAGGTTTTGGTGTCTTGACTTGAATAGCAACGCCACCTCTGACGTAGTCACTGAAAGACCTTGTATCACCAATACTGAAGGAGTATGAGTCTACAGTGTACAATGGATAGTGAACAGGCTCAGGGCATTCGTCAAACGTGTTAAAGTTTAACGTGCCACTAACCAATCACTTTTATTTTTCGTCCAAGACAGCCATTGAGCTCAACCATTCCCTGAATCTCGTTAAAAGTCACATAGTCTCCATCCATTAGATTGTGTCGCGTTTCGTCAGAGCATGTGACTACACCCTCTTCTTCCTATTTAAACTTTAAAACTAATACAGTCCTTCATCTCTTTGCTTTACTTTAGTGATTGATGACACAAGCACACAGACTGGGTTCTCACCGTCGCTGTCAGATACAACAAACCCTTTACCAAAGTCACAGAAGACCTGACTATAAAGTTACGTTAATAATAATAATAATAATAATAATAATAATAATAATAATAATAATAATAATAATGGCTTTTCTTTCCTTTCTCTTCTCTTACCCAAAGAGTCCTTTGGTGTCACATACAATGAACTTGATGTCATTTGAATGACAGAATTCTCCAATCCTCACCTGATCAGTTAAACTAGAATCAGTGAGCACAACTACCTAAAGAGATACAGAAATGAAGAAAATATCATTTGATCATTATCAGTACTTGATATTTCTTCAGTTTCTCTTCTGACAGTTCTCCCTTCAATACATCAACTGGTACGTATGAATTGAGTTCTGACAGATGAGGCTGACACACGGCAGCAGTGTTCTTACCAACATCATCTTCAGTAAAGAAAAACTAAACAATAAACAAACAAACAAACAAACAAATAAATAAATAAATAATATAATTGTATTACTTGTGACGAGAGGTGACGTAGCTCAATATTGTCTGGATCATAAATTGTCACTGACTTAACTCCTGCTAATACAACATTCTTAGCTAAGAGAAAGAAAGAAGAGAAATTTAAACATGGAGGTATATGCACAGTGCACACACGTAATACACGTACCAACTTCAACTCCAAGTCCTTTCATACCAGCAATAAGTACATTAGAGGCACCCATCTTACGCATGGCATCATGACCCAATACATACCTAATACAAGCAGCAATAGCTAAGAGCATATAGTGTTTAGCTTACAATTGACGTGAGTACAATCCTTCATCAATCTCCTTCTCTTTGGACTCAGCCATTTCTGCCCTCTAATGAAATTAGCACAGCGTGACTGTCAGGTGCTACATGAAGCAAGCAGATTGAGGAGACATGCAAAAAAATATTCTAACCTGTTGCTGCTATCAACGACAGACTCAAAATGGCGAGGAGAGGAAAGGAGAGAGGGAGAGGGAGATCACCTGAGCAAAGGGAAGGAAAGGGTGTGGCTTGTAATTTATCAGTGGGTGTAGCTCAGTTGAACACCCACGCATAAATTCATTCGATGGTCAAATTTAAGTCCACTCTACAGGGATATTGGCCAAATTTCACCAAAAATGAAAAGAAGAGAATTCTCAATTTTTATAATTTTACTGATACATATATACACATAGTCTTATGTTGTATAGAAAGTTTGAGCTGATTATCTTGATACCAATGGCAATGCCCATTCAAATTCCATTGTGCTATGTAAACTGAGAATACTAATACTCCTATGACCTCATTGACCTGCTGTCACTGCAACTACCAGCTGCCCTGACAAATCTAATGGATACTCTAGAAGACAAGACTCCTCAAAGCTGTGCCTCACTGCCTACAAAGCTACAGCCACACATACCAAGCTCAAGGAAAGTCTACATTGTACTACTCTGGATACTACTAACTCATGGGCTCTATAATTATACAATATTCAACTTAGGAGGTGTATTGGATCAAACAGATATCCCTATATACATAATAGGGATTACACAGGTAATAGTCTTGCTGCTGTTTCCATTAGCCGGCATTATAGGCGAGGTGTACTGGACTCGATACAAAGTAATGATAACTGGAACAGTAATAATGCTTGGACCACTGATAGCTTCTCCTTTTGCTTATGCTGGACTGATGACCCTTGGTGATACCCCAAAAAGGGGAACTCTGGGCGGATTATTGACTGGTATTGCTCTAGTGCCTTTTCAGATTGGGATTGCACTCTTTGAATCCAACGTAATCCAATTCGGAACTGATCAGCTCCTTTTTGCATCTTCTGATCAACTCAGTAGCTTCGTTCATTGGTCATTCTGGTGCATGTACATTGTCCCTTTTATTGTTGTCATGGGATCTGCCCCGTTAAAGTTAACACCACTCATAACAGCGCCGATGGTTCAACTCCTACTCCTCATATTTGCTGTTATTTTAATTTGCCTACCATGCACAAGACGAACTCTTGAGCTACACCACGATCGAGTGAAAAAGAAAAACCCAGTGAGTCTTGTGGTTGGGGTATTCAAATATGCAAAATCTCACAAATATCCAGAAAATCGAAGCGCCTTCACATACAATGACGAAGAGAGCTACAACCACATCAACTTTGCTAAAGAACGCTACGGAGGACCTTACTCAACAGAAGAAGTAGAGGACGTTAAGACCTTTGGTCAAATACTTATTCTCTTCTTGTCATTATTTGGATTCCTACTAACCGACAACACAGGCATACTCATCCAACAATACAGATCCTTTGGTAGCTTAACTGATCACACTTATTCAGACTTTTGGCCATTCTTGATGTATTTCATGCCAAAGTTTGCTGTAATAGTTGTCGGAGTGCCCCTTTATAGGCTAATCCTCTGTCCATTCTTTAGCAGATACTTACCAAATATGACCAAGAGGATGGGCTTGGGTTTAGTGTGTTCATTTGCAGCACTTGCCACAGAGTCAGTCCTTTCATTTTTTGTAAATAAAACCTTTGAAGAACTTGGCTACCTAAACGTGTGCGGAGAGAACATAACTACTCCAGTAGGATCAATAGACAATGAAACAGCTACTGATATCATGCTACCAAGTGAATCCATATTGATCATACCACAAGTCTTCAATGGGCTCAGCTTATTGCTAACATTTCTCACAGCATTGGAGTTTGTGCTTGCTCAGTCTCCACGCAGCATGCAGGGATTGCTCATTGGGGTCTGGTACGCATTGCAATCCTTCAATGTACTGCTAATGACTCTGTTATTTACACTCAATGGAGGCTGCTCTTACATATCGTATGCTGTCAGAGCAGGATTAGCAATAGTATCTTTTGTTACATATGTATTGACTGCACGCTGGTATAAAGGAAGAAAGAGGCAGGAGAGCTCAAACATACAACAAAATATTATCATTGAGGAGTACACAGCTAGAATGTTAAGGCATGAAGCGGAAGAATTGAATTCTAAGGATCCTTATGTATTAGGATACTATGATCTGTCAGACTTCTCAATTCAATCTCGTCAGTAATAATACACGCAAAATATACAATAATGGGCTTTGTATTCCTATTAATATTGTACACTTATTGTTATTTATGATTATTACACCATTAGTGGTAAAAATGTGATGCATCATCAGTGGAAGGATCTCCTTTTTCTTGTGTGTTCATTTTGACATATAATTGACTCTCACGTGGCCTCACAGGTAAAACTGGATCAGGATGTCCCTCAGAGGTCATCGTGGTTGACTTCTCTTCTGTTACAAGATGATATTCTGTATCGGTTGTCAGGTGACTGTCAAGTGGTTTATCATTATTTGAGGGGAGGTTATAAATTGGTTCAATAGTTCTGTGATCAATAACGTTATAAATTGGTTCATTTGACCTATAATGTAACTAATGTAATGATAATAATAATAATTTTAAAACTGACCGTAATTCAAAGCACACTGAGTTTGAGCCCATCGGAATATAGTCGTCTGTATCAGGGTTAGGAGCAGGTGGACTGTACAAATGATTTTAAAACAAATAACATTTAATTTAGGTATAATGTTTCAGGCTATAACTTTCTCTTCTTATGTCGTATTCATACTGACCTTGAGCGAGGAGTTGAATCCTTTCTCTTGACAGAACATTTCTTACAGCACAGAGTTATTATCAGAATAATATTAAGGATGAGTGATACAACAAGCAATAACAAGACACCATATAAACCAAAAGCAAACGGAGTTGTGTACGATGGGCTTGGACTTGTATGCATTTCTATGCAATGAAAAAAGGATGTAAGTATGAGAGTAATAACAATTGTAGTTTACCTGAAGATATTGAAGTTGAATACAGTATAGTTGAATACAGCATAGGCTCATGGTCATTATGAGTAGTGAAGTCCCTTTCAGTCCATTCTCCTGGTCCAATACTAGTATATGCTCTCACTCCAATAGTATAACTAGTATTAGGTATCAATCCTGCTATACTGTAATAAGTGTTAGTAGTGTTAGTTATATTGTATGGATCAGTACTGGTAGACTCTCTATATCTTATCTCATATACTGTAATGATACCATTAGGTATTGTAGGAGGATTCCATGAGATATTTATCGTTTGTATATCAATGTTAACTGACATCAAATCAAATACCATACCTGGAACTAGATTAAGTTTAATCATAATGTTTATCTTGCTTTTGCTCACCTGATTCATCAGTTTCTTGTGTCATAAATTCACAAGGACCCACTCCATCAATAGAATAAGCCACTATACTCACAGTATAGTTAGTATATGGTATTAATCCTGTGAGATTATACATTCTGTTGTCTCCTCCAGTGATATTAACAGCATAACTAGTGTTTGAAGTGATGTTAGTGTATGTGAGGTAGTATCCAGTGATTGGTCCATTCCTTCCATTGCAAGGTACTTCATCCCATGAGACAGTCATTGACACTGACTCTACTGTTAACAATGTAAGATTAGCTACTGATGCTGTAGGAGCTAGAGAAAGAGGAGAGACAAGTAATATTTCAATAATTGAAATAGCAGAATCTTTCCTCACCAGTAGATAGTGTAGTAAGAGAAATGTTGCTACTTAGATTCACTGATTCATTTCCATATGCCCCAAACACAATAAACTCACATAAGCTATAAGGAGACATTCCATTCGATCGATGAATGGGTGAAGAGGATGAAATGGAATAAAAGCTAACACAGTCTTCATTGCATAGCCTGTGACATCTACGCTCTATGTAATAGCTAATTGGTTCCACAGTAGGGGTCCAACTCAACGTAGCATCAGTGCTTGTAATATTAGTGATGGTTATATTATAAACAATAGGTATACCTGTATGAGAAATGAATAAAATGTGACTAGTTTGTATTTCCATTGTTTACTTAATGTTAAAATGAGAGAATAATTATCACTAGGCAGAGATGAACCAGTTGTAGTATATGATACAACATAAAATGAATATGTGCTCCCAAGAGTAAGATTAGATGTTAAGATGATTGATGTATTGCTCATAGTTGTTAGTAGCAATGGTAAACTATCAGAAGATGCATTATAATAGACATCATAGCCACTAGCTTCATTAACAGGAGACCAGGAGAGGATTACATGAGTCAAGCCACTGCTTAATCTTTTAGCAGTGAAATTAGTTGGAGTACTGGGTACTAAGAAATTATATTATAATAATCATTATAATTAATGTCGCTAACCTGTTATACTCCTTGATGAAGAGCTACTTGATGCAGTGACCCCATTAATAGTACCAGCAGACGCTCTGTCATTAGATACAGTACACTGATAGTTACCAGTTTCTCTCAGTCTCACTGTTACTGTCACTCTTGTAACAGATCCTGGTCCATTCACTATCACACGAGACAGTTCAGTAGATATTCCATTCCCATTCAGTGAACAACTGACAGTAGTAGGAGGACCATCAGAGACATTGAAACTGAGACTAAAGACTGGAGGAGTAGCTAATCTACTAGTGGAGAGGAGAGAGAACTGCATATTAGAATCAGCATCAGGACCATCTGTAAAAGAATTACATTAATTATAGTCTATATTCATCACATACCATTGTTATTGTATCCATTAGTAGTATATGCTCCAGCCACTAGTGTTTGATTCACTCCATTCTCATCAGGAATGATACACTTGTATAAACCTTCATATCCTGATATTCCAGCTCTTCTAGCTAGTGCAATCTGACCACTAAATCTCTTACTGAACACTGGGCTAGGAGCAGATGCATCATCAAATGAATCCTTAAAAATCGGAACCATAGTTCCATTAGGATAGTACCATATGCCAATTTCAGATTTATTATAAGCACTCTGACACCATAAAGCATCGTTAGTATTGCTAGGATCATTATTTTGATCAACATTGTAAAACTGACTAGCATATATCATAGAGTAATCAGGTATTACCCTATCTTCATATGGCAAATATAGCCTCACACCTATCAAGAAATGATTTATTCATAATATAATAAGCTTACTTCATTTACCTTTAACTGGTAAGTTAGTTGGTTGCTGTCCTTTAACCAGAGTCAGGAGCAACAGAACAATAGTGAGGTATAGTAACATTGCAGCAGCAAACTAGTCAACTGTCAACAGCTTCAGTATAATAATACACTACATGCACTTGCAACTAATAAACACTACATTGAAAGTGAAAAATTCCCATTTTTGGACAACGAACACAAAACTATTCTGAGAACATACACTCAATGATATCAATAGACACTGTATTCATAACTACATTTGACTCTCACTTGTAACTGTCACAATAGAAAATCATAACCATCTTGTCAAACTTGTAAACAAGCATCAATTAACATTATGCTTACATATACTTTAATGGCCAGTAACAGGTTTATGCTTCACATCTAATGTCAATATGACAGTTGCTTGTACAAAAACATTAGTTAGTTTCAAAAATACAACCTCAAAGTTTCACTAACATTTAAATAAAGCATAAACAACGTATTATATAGCAGAAACAAAACAATAAAGAGTAATAGTGTGAGAATATTCTTAAGAACATCTTCAGGCATCACTAATGCTTGTTTCTCACTGATAAAAGTTCATGTAACAAAGGGAAAGGTAGACAGCCAGATTGTAGCACCTCACTATGAAACAAACTTAAATCAAAGTCTCTCTTCTCCTCCTCATACTCCTTCCTCCTCCTCTCTCTCAAGTCCATGAGCTCTAAGTATCCAGCTATGTAACATGGTGCATATGTGGGCCTTGATATGTACATGTTCACCTCTCCATCTACAGAGCGAGAGTCAAAAAGGATCTCTTGAAGGAGAAACAAGCGGACGTCTTCAAGTGTCATCTCATTCCTATGAAGCTTAATGTCAAGTATAACTCGTGCTGCTCTCCACAGCTGTAACCTTAATTGAGTTAAACGTGCCAACTTTTCATATCGAGAGTTTGGAATCTTTTTACTTTCCCTTCTCGCCTCTGACTCCTCTGTTTTATCTCTTATCTCCAGGCCTTTATTGAAAAACCCAGTTTCAAAAGCAAGCTGTTCACAATACAGTCCCCAACCCTCATAAAAGTATGGAGACTCGTAAAACCGTCTCATAATCCTGGGATGAGTTTGAGAGAAGAGGATCTGAAGATGATGACCAGGATAGCACTCGTGTGGAGCTATGACGCTTATCCACGTGTAGTCATGAGATCGTAGGAGCTTCTCTTCCTCAGGGGGAGAAAGAGATCTACCTGCAACTGAATGAAGCATAAGATAACCAGTCACAAGATCAGGTTTGTTTTGAAGAGGTGAGGTAGCATAAGAAGAAAATGGTGGAGGGTTAAGGAAATCCCCAAAAGGAGAGAAGGGGACTAGAAAAGACGGTGTATAGAACCCAACGACTCTCTCGTCAGCTGGTAAATCAGGAACAAGTCTATGTTCCTTGACATGAGTCTTAGCTCGAGCTATTTCGTCCAAGTAGGACTGGAGGAGGTTTTTAGCTGACGGATGAAGCGAGCGGATAATATCCTCAGTAATCTGGTACCAGTTCCTATCAGAATCTATTTCATCCGCCAACTCTCTCAGTTGCTTTTTGACAAGAGAAAAATGCTCTTCTCCCGACTTCAGTAATGCTGAACTGTCACTTATAAAGTGGCCAAAAGCTAATAGCTTATCATATACTGGTCTGCCAAGAGAAGCATAAGAATCAGATGATCTAGGTAGTACATCAGTGGCCAGTAATGATTTATAGTGAACAACAGCATCAGATGCTACCTTGGCTGCCCTAGCAATATCTAGTAGTAAGGAAGAGTGGGCAGTAGACATTTGTTCCACTAATGAGGGAAGATCAACTCTAAGAAAATGAGAAAAGCTATCACAGAGTTTTAAAGCCCTCTGCGTCAGGAGATGGATAGGTTTCTTGAGGTTTTTCACACCATTCTGAAGACAAATAGGAATTTGACGAAGACGAGAGAGCAAAGCTGACAGCCTATAATGAATAGAGGGGGAAAGGGTCCCCGGGTAATATACAGCATCTTCTCTTCCTTTCTCACAGCTGCTATCACCTCCCCAGGTAGGTAGAAGGTAGTTCAATGCGTCAAACGGCATATAAATGGCAGGATCTCTTTCGTGCATTGCTACTTCTGACCATTTCACGAGCTCTAGGTTAAGCTGTGAGATGATTAACTTTCTATCGATTATCTGATCAAGGGAGAGATTATCTTCACTGATTGATTCAATCTCAATCAACAAAGCTCTCACTCGATCAATATACGACGCCACCTGATCCTCACTGCTAATGTTTAACAAGTGACCATACGAGAGACATTTAATTGAATGATAGGCGTACGCGTCTTTCATTAAAAAAGGTGACGGCATTTGAAGTTTGATATTTGGCGAAGCTTTGATGAAAGGGCAATAACCAGTTCGAGTTGCTTCAACAGGATAAGCAGAGAAATAGACTTCAATAAAACTATGAGTGGAAAAAATGATTGAAATTATAATATTATTGTTTTTAACTTACCGGTTACATATCTCTTCAAAATGAGCAGGGGAATTCAACTGGTTCAGATTATACTTCATAATGGAACCATGACGACCCTCCCTGTCACGCTCTAGACCATAAACCACACCTCCTGGACCATGCCCTTTATTTAAAACATGATCAATGTCAGAGAGATCTTTGTCGGATAAAACTAGATGTTTTGCTAAAAGACTTTCCCTTAAATGACTGATAAAAGAGAGATTAATTAAAGTTTTTAAAAGTAAACAGTAGCTAACCTCATGTTAAGAGTTCCTAAAATGACCCCACCCACTTCTGGTAGTCGTAACACGTATGCTATTGCAACCATGGCAACAGTCACATGATCAATCTGTATGACATCATCAGGTGTGGCCTGTACAGTGAGGGGAGAGTGTGAGAGAGCAACTGAATGAAGGACAGAGAGAAGATCCTGGAACAAATCCCACGAGCCAAAGTCATCAATAATCAATTGATACTTGACCAAACTGCGATTTGAAAACTAAAAATAAATAAATAAAATTAAAATATTTTTATTACAAAAACTTTACACACACACATTGGAGGGCTTTGGTTTCCCTATCCACTGATCAGTGAGAAAGCCTCCAGCTAACACTCCATAAGCAAATATCTTCACATTATTTTCATTGCATAATGTGACAAGCCCACTTTTGATCGGACGCTGGTCTATAACTGACAGCTGCACCTAATCAAATAATTAAAAAATAAACGTAAATATATAAAATCTTTGCTATGTGCATGGCTTCCCAAAGGATTTTAGCATAGTGCTTATGTAGCTTCTTGTCTATGGATACAGTACCTTGTCAGTACAGGGATTTTGGCCAAATTTCGCCAAAAATGGCTAGGTAAGATTTCTCCATTTAAAAATTTTTTCCTGATACATATACATGTTCTTATGTTGTGTACAAAGTTTGAGCTCATTCTGATGAAAATTGGATTTTTTACAAATTTTTAAAGTTACTCCAAAAATTGGGCGAAAATCCCTGTACTATAGTACAGGGATTTTGGGCAAATTTTACCAAAAATGGCTAGGTGAGATTTCTCCATTTTTATTATGTTTCCTGATGCATATACATGTTCTTATGTTGCATAGAAAGTTTGAGCTCATTCTGAAAAAAATTAAATTTTTTTACAAATTTTTAAAGTTGCTCCAAAATTGGGCCAAAGTCCCTGTACTATAGTACAGGGACTTTGGCCAAATTTCGCCAAAAATGGCAAAGTGAGATTTCTCCATTTTTATACTTTTTCCTAATACATATACATTTTCTTATGTTATGTTTTAAATTTGAGCTGATTCCGATCAAGTTTGAATTTTTTATGAATTTTTAAAGTTGCAATATACTGTACATCAGCTCATGAAGTTTATATCTCGTTAAGCATGAGAAACCTGCTACAACTCCACACACTCTCTTCATCTCCATTACTTGTATACTATTAATTCTTATTTCAGTTCCTTCGATTATTTCTTTAGTTTGCTCAGCGTTGAAGTTAGTCAGACCAATCTTTCTTACGATCCCTTCTTTCTGAAGTGATCCAAGAACATGCAAAGCATCCATAACTCCAGGAGAAGACCATTCCCACCAATGCAACTGAACAAGATCAACATACAAAGACTTCAAACGATTTAAGGATCTCCGTATAACTCCACGGACATACGACTCATTGACCCCACCTCTTTTAATAACGTCAAGGTCTGGTACTAATTTAGTATGTATTTTGATGTCTTCTCTTCTTCCACCTCTTCCTGCATGAGCCTCTATCAGTCGACCATAGAGTAGCTCAACTCCTGTGTATATGTCACCACAGTCAAACACTCTCACACCATTATCAATGGCTTCCAACAACTTTGATAAGATAGTGACTACAGAAATAATATTTTTTAAAAATTTTGTGACGATTCCCATCATGCTTTAATGCAACAATACAAACAATAATAGACTGGAATAGCTGTATATACAAGTGTACAGTGTAATTATTATCATTGATATGTACATTATTATTAGTTACCTGTATCAAATCCACTGCCTTGAGTAAGATCATGGCCACTAGATAACTGCCATCCACCATACATAATCTCTCCTGTCCCTCCTCCTTCTATCAGTGTTAGGTCTTGGCATAAGGTTTTACGAAAAGTTTTAAAGTGAATACTCATCAGTCGTCCCATGTAGTCCTTGTTACCAATCTTAGCCGCTCGTTTAAAGTGAGGATAAGCAGGACCAACCAAACCTTGCAGCTGGTAGTAGAACCCAACATAGAAGTGTGCATAGCCTAGTGCATTAGCCCCGTTATAACTTTCAATAACTATTAATTAATTAATAAGTTAAATAATATTTTATTATTAATTAATATTAATACTCACTATTATCTGGCGTCACAGAAGTGGCTACTCTTATCACTTCGTCCACGCTCCCTTTCCCGTGAAAAAGATCCAAAACTTGAGACATTGGAACCACGACCTCGGAGTCAGTCCGAGACCGTAACTTTAAGAACCCGTCCCTGCGTGCCTCTTCAAAACCCATCAGCCGAGACTTGCAGAAGAAATGCCAAAGAACCTCCTCTGGGTCGCTTCCATTGGTGTCCATGTTTCTTTCAAACTGAGCCATCCCCTCCTCGTAACGATGAGAATAATAAAGACACAGTCCTCTCTGCCATAGCTCAGAGGAACGTGCTGGGTCCAGAAATATTAAGCTGTCCAAGACCCAGTTTGCTTTATCCAGGTCTCCAGCTAGTAGAGCCTCTTCTCCTTCTTGGATCATCTAAAAGTGAGCCTAAAGTGAGGTAAAAGTTTAAAACGAGAGGAGAAACTAGTGAAAGGCCACGTGACTAAAAATTTAAGAGTTTGCGGGAAAACTGCCGCGAAAATTAGGTCTCCACCTTTTTTGATAACTCGACTCCACCTATTTTAATAAGGAGGGCTAGGGCGAGGTGAGCCACTCCTCCTCCTCATGGTACACCCTATAAATAAGATCTGAGTTTATACTCTGACGTTTCTCTGTCTCCCATTATCTCCTGTGCCTCCTTCCCCTTTCCTTTCTCCTCAAAACGAAGTGGCTGTCACTTGGATCCAGCCCGTCTGAGGGAGGGGGGCGCAGAATGGCTGGAATTTTGAAGAAAACACTGCAGAGTCTTGCAAACCTTCTGCCTGGCAGGGAACAGAGGAGCAGTAATGATGAGATAAAGGAAATATCTGAGCCTTATTTTGGTGAACTCCAACAGTATGGATGTGATGGCTGTGGGAATAGAATAGAAGTGTGTGAATAGAAGTGTATTAATGATCTATTATATTTACTACAAGATGGGCTATATCTAAATGATGTTTGTTTGCTTGAGTACCATTATTTACACAATATTGAATTGTTGCATGACTCTAAAGTACTAATATACTATGATGGTGCTTATTTGGGAATGTAGTGTGTATATATATGTGTGTAATGATATCTTGCATCATTATAATACTTGAAATATCAACTGTTGCAATATTTAATTAGTTAAAGAGAGAGTCAGTTTGACTCTCAACCCATAAATGTTGCACTATTATCATTTGTGTGACTGTTTTCGTTGTAGATGAACATAATTAGCTTTATGATAATTTGATTTCTCATCTGCAGCATCATGGTTGGAATTTTTGGTGTGACAGGACATAGTATTATAATTTATTTAATCTAATTTGATACTACACAACATCCCAAACTTCCCTCTTACCCTATTCCCCTAGGAAGGTAGTAAAAGGTACAATTGCGACGATTGCCCTGATAGTTTTGATCTATGCCAGTCGTGCTATGAGAAAGGAGAGATTGTTGATGAACATGTACGGAATTTTGATCACCTGCACACTTTCACCTGTGAAACTAGGTAAAACCTACATATATTGATGTGTGCATCTACATGTATGTATTGATTATGTGCTGTAGCTCTGCATGATACAGCTAATTTATTTAAAAGCCCTGCAAGCTGTTACATGGTGGGTGCTAGTATTTAATAAATGACCCAAAGAATGTCACGCTATGCCATAGAAATAGCTGTTAGCTTTTTAGTTACTTTCACAAGTAGTCAGTGCACTAGGCTTATAATGATATATTTGCAATATAGATTTATACGGTAGTAACTCATTTTACACTATCCAGGAACTAAGCTGAAACTAATCTTATGCTATTGAATAAAGTATCAGTTGAGCTACCTTATTTAATGTATATCGTGTGTACAAATATCAATGTTGGGTGTGTGCTGGGTAGAGTTACCATTGTAATACTCTCTTGATTGCATTAAGTGACACAAACCATTAGAAGTGTAATAATTGGCAATTATCAGTTTGCACTGTAGCATTCTTCCTTGCAATTAGAGCAAGAAAGTGCGAGGCCTTATGGTAACACTGCTGCTTGGGAGAGATAGTTGTACTGCTTAGTTCTAAACTGTTTGTGTTCAGTTGATATTGTTCTATTGATATATGATTTTCATGTCATTGTGGTTGTTCAGTAGCAGCCACAATGGCATGTTTTTGCTTGGATCTACTTAACACTTTTAATTTTATTTTAAAGGAGCAATGCTGCCATTGTTAGAGAGGTTATGGCCGAAGGGACTTTGGAAGAAATCCTTTTAAGAATGTTCAGGTCAGGAGATAAAAAATAAGAGCTTGAATGTGCATGAAAGCAATCACCATCATCCTACTATTGTATCTCCATTTTGTTATGTGTAGGTGTTATGCTGACAGACCAGCCATAGGGACTTACATTGAATCAAGGCAAAGATATGAATATATAAGGTTTGTATTAAATATATCCATTTATACTTATACTACAACAGCAAAGTCTCCCTATGTTCCTTCATCTTTACTCTCTCTCTTTCCCTCTCACTCTGTTTCCTTCTCATCATTAAATGAATCAGTATAAAGTCCATTTAATCTTGTAATGATAGTCTGTGGTATTGGGTGAGGCACACACTTCACAGACAGGGAGTGGTGCCCTCAATTAATTTGATATTCACCTCGACCCTCTGTGGTGGTTAGAGGACACATGTGGTGCACTCCCCATTCAATAGTAGCAGTGTTTGTTAGCATAGTATCCCCTATTGTCTTAGTCTGTATTACTACTACCTTGCTATTTGGTGTATTGTTACCTTTACTATAAGACTTAGTATTTTAGTACGTGTCATTGATATGTTTTATATTATTGTAGTCGGTATAATAATGATGTAAATGCTAATTGTTTGCTTGCTATTATTCTTTGTTATTTCCTAATGATGATAATAAGTAACGATGATTATAAATTATATTTAATTTAGTTTTATGATTGGCTGTTACTACATGATGATAATTATTAGTTTTATTTTTTGATATTTTTAAATATTTTTTGTATTGAGTTTTTTGTTCTGATTTTGTTGCTTTTTCTTATTATCCTGCTATAGAGCAGACCTCCTCAGCTAGTTCAGTTTGTGAGCTTTTCCATTTGGTACTAAATTTAATGAATCCTGTAGAGTTTTGTGGATAATTTTGATGACCAACCACTATGGGAAACCACTGCATGTGCTCTTGAACAAATTAACACTGGCCTCCATATTTTGGTTTTCCTTATTGTACCACTTCATGCACTTAATAAAAGATGATAGTATAATTATAATAATTAATGCAAGCACAATTAACATCGCTACAAGAGATTTAGTAATTCTATTTTAACTACAAGTACTTGTTCATTATTTACTGTTTTTATTACTGTGGTTTTGCTAAAAGTTGTAAAAATAGTATTAAGAATATTTATACTAGCTTATGTAGAGAGGTAGAAATTTTAAGTATAGCATCAATTGTTTTATAAAATATTTTGCTCATGAAAATAATTGTTAATATTCAAATATCGTCACAAAAATATAATTATTAAAAATAGTTCCTTTAGAAAAATTGAGTTGGATAATGTACATTAGAATTTTAATTATGAATTTTTTAATTTGCTATTAAGAGCTGGTTTTCTTTTTATTCTGAAAAAAAATTATTCCTCATTTAGAATTTATTTTACATTTCGTAACTAAACTATAGATTTATTTTTAATATTTTAATATTTATTTTTATTAATAGTTTCAAAGTACTTGAACAACTTGTCACAAGTTTTGCTATGTCATTGTATCACGTGATGTCAACAAGCCACGCCCATTTACTTGGAACAAACCACACCCCCCTGATAGCTTTGTGTTCTGTTGTGCGTCTGGAATGGTATATTGCTGACTATGCGTGTGCTTTAATTGGAATACCATCAGTAAGTAAATAAAATTAATAATTTTTCATTTATATACACATACATGTACATCAACCATATATTATCTATTTGTGAGTTCATTTTCAATATTTCCATTATCAATAAAATGAAGAGAATTAAATAAAAAAGAGGAGGCCAAATTTTTTGTACCTTGAGCTCCAATGATTGTTTTATTTTTGTAGCTTCTAGTAAGCAAAGATGTGGATACAATAATTACCATGCTTGCGTGTACATTGTGATTTTTGAGAAACTTTAAAAATTCATAAAAAATTCAAATGTGATTGGAATCAGCTCAAACTTTCTACACAACATAAAGACATGTATATGTATCTGGAAACATTATAAAAATGGAGAAATTTTACCTATCCATTTTTGGCAAAATTTGGCCAAAATCCCTGTACTATATAGTACAGGGACTTTTGCCCGATTTTGGAGCAACTTTAAAAATTCGTAAAAAAATCCAAATGTGATTGGAATCAGCTCAAACTTTCTACACTTCATAAGAACATGTATATGCATCAGAAAAAATTATAAAAACAGAGATTTCTCTTCTTTTCATTTTTGGCAAAATTTGGCCAAAATCCCTGTACTATAGTACAGGGACTTTAGCTCGATTTTGGAGCAACTTTAAAAATTCGTAAAAAATCAAAATTTGATTGGAATGAGCTCAAACTTTCTATGCAACATAAGAACATGTATATGTATCAGGAAAAATTATAAAAATGGAGAAATCTCACCGAGTTGTTTTTGGCAAAATTTGGCCATAGTCACTGTACTATAGTACAGGGACTTTGTCCCAATTTTGGAGCAACTTTAAAAATTCATTAAAAATTTAATTTTGGTTGGAATGAGCTCAAATTTTTTGCACAACATAAGAACATGAATATGTATCAGGAAAAATTATTTAAATGGAGAATTCTCACCAAGTCATTTTTGACAAAATACCTTGTACTATGATTTATTAGTACAGTGTTTAGGATTAATAATTTGAATTTATCATTAACTTTTCCTTTAGGTCGGAATAACTGCTTCATCTGATAAGGAGACAATATCATTTATACTCTCACAAACAGAGACACCTCTTGTTGTATGCTCTCAGGACAAGCTCTCAATCTTTGCATCTTTAGCTAGTAATGGAGACACGCCTGGGCTAAAGCACATCATTGTGATGGATCTTAATGAGGTATTGTATGAGAGAGAGAAAGAGGAAGAGGAAGAAGGAGAGTAATCTCCCAATCTAAAGAAGTGGCTCTAAAAGATGGCAAGGGAGAGAGAGTGGGAGAAAAGAAAAAAATATATATATATACACGTTTACATTCATGTACATATATGGATGTAAGAGAGACAATATGGGCTGAAAGTAGACTAGAAGGGAAGTTATAAGAAGGTGGGGAACTAGATCACAGCTATTTACTAAGTAGAGAGATGCTTTGTAGACTAAATTAATCATTTATTATTTTAGCTGTTAGAGACAGCGTGGGCTTGTATTTTGACGAAAAGCTATAGATATAGGCATGTCCATTGTAGGGACTAGGTGTGTCACACAATTCTCATGTTTTGTCTAATTTATTTATTGAGTAACATCAGCTGCACGTGTCATCTCGCCTACATGCATTGTGTAAATGGAATGTGTATGGTCTCTGGGCTAGTATTAGCAGTGTATGCCATTGCCCTGTGTATAGCATGTCTATTAAACTGTATAAAGTACATGTGTGCATTGGAGGAGTTTATACATGTGCTTACGTTACTGGATGAGTAAATAAAGTTTGATTAATGTTGATTGAAATTTTTAGCTCATAACATTAATTACGTCATAAAATGTATTGGTATGTCTGATTTGATATTTGGAATTTTTGTAGTCAAGAATCCAAATAATGCTCATTGCAAATATTGCACAGGGTTCAATTTCTCATTCTCATACATTCTAATGCTTACATGTTTAATATTTTACTTGCTTGCTTGGGCTTGCCTCTTAATATTTTACATTTATCATTATCTTGTCAATTAACAATTTATTTATTTGTGGAATTAATTATTATTATTGGCCTTGTCCAGCTTTGCGTAGGCGAGGACTAGTTTTTATTGCATTGATTTTGTTATAGAAATACTACTTATTATTTTTTTTTGAAGTTTTAATTGTTTTTTAGAGGGTACAAAACTAATTAAAATGTCTCTCTCCAAACTTCTCATTCTTCAAGTATTTGCTGTGTCTAATCGCCATGGCCGCCATTCAGTGGGCAGTGTCTTCCGTGTAGGCACGAGTGCCATTAGACTAGACCTAACATGGCACATTAGTCCTTATTGAGTCAATGATTGATCCACTGTTAGCATAGACACACAGACATTGTGTGTCTGTGACTCTGTGTCATGTACCAAGTTACCCAATACATGCCTATACACTACTGAGTCTGTGCACTACCTGTCTATGTTCCTATCTGTATAGACATTATCCTGTAGTGTTTATACAGTGTATGTTCTGGTTCCTACTGTACATCTGTTTCTAGTGTCTGTGAGAGAGTGCATGAGATGTGGCTGGGAATGAGTATATTGTTTTTTTGTGTGTGGTTTAGGTGTTACATAGTATTATCACAATGGGTTCTCTCTCTCTTTCTCTTTATTCTTTTCTTTATTGTAAGCTTTATTATCTATTTTATGCCCAAAAATGGTCATTTCCCCCATGCATATCAATGCTTGATCTTATGCAATGCAGTAAATTTAATTTGATTTGATAGCACATATTCTTAAGCTATAAGCATTCAAAGAAATATTTGATTTAGATGTACAATTTTTAGGCATTAATTTGCTATAGCTGGCAACAACAGTTGTAAGTAGATGCGTATTATTATGAAGTGAGAATATAATTAATTTCATTGTGTACCAACAATATAAGAGAAATGGAATTTACCTTAACTTGATTTGCCAAGTAACATTATACCTTCACGCTCTGAATCTTCATTACAATGAATGACCTGTAATCCGATACGCTCCATCTATTGTCAAGTGTCATGTGAATCGTAGTGCCGAGTTATTTATATTTTTAAGAGGAGTTGTGTTTCATTATAATCATATTTTGCCTCTGGCTATTGAACATCTGCTGAACTTCGCTAATTGATTGATTGCTGCATTCATGTCCATGTAATTTGGTAATTCCGTTTGCATACTTATAATAATTAATCTTTTTGATTACCCACTTGCAATTCTCATCTCCCACGACTCTCTCTTTTCCCTCCCCCTCTCCCTCTCTTTCCTCCCCCTCTCTTTCTTTCTTCTTCTCTCCTTCTCTCTTTCTCTCTCCTTCTCTCTTTCTCTCTCCTTCCTTCTCTTGTTTAGGGAGAAGATGTTGCTATTATGACCGGCTCAGTACCGCCAGTTGGTGTGACCATCTGGAGATTAACCGAATTTCTCAAGAAGGGAAAAGACCAACTCATCAATATTGCATCATTCAAGTAATACTGAAACCAATAATAGTAATAGTAGTAGTAATGAAAGAAGTATTTGCTAGCTGTACAATGTTGCCATGCCATTTTATTTTATAAGGAAGTGCCTCTAATTTAATGTCTAGTTAGATCATGTAAACATTATATTTCAAATAGTTTGGATACACCAGTAACATGGTTTCTCCTGGGAAAGTGTTTCATACAAATGCATGGCCTCCACTTAACCTCTACATAACCACCTCTACACAACCACTTCTATACGCTGCACAATACTATACACGTGTACATGTACATGTGTGTATGTACGTGTACATACAGTATCTACCCATATATGTGTGTATGTATGTTTTGGAATGTGGTCAGAGCACTAATGCACTCAATTAGTCTAATGTCTCTGTTGGAGGATTAGTTACAAACTTTCTGACCAGCTGCAGTCTAAAACCATTTCTCTTCACTTTGTGACTGTTTAGCAACAAAGTTCTACACATTCTGTTACCTTTTGAGGTATTTATTCTTTTTTGTTACTAGGACTGATCCTGAACAGATTTACACCATTGCTTATACCAGTGGTAGTACTGGAACACCCAAGGGCTGTGTCTTCTCACGAAGTCTTTGGCTTAAACACATACTCAGTCCTTCAGTAAGACACCTCCACCATTATAATGTACCTGTCTTCATCTTTCTTTACTCTTCCTCTCTCTCTCTCTCTCTCCCTCCAGACTATTGGTTTTATGGGTATCAAAAGGATCTGGTTCTCATTCCAACCTCCTTCCCACATGATGGAGAGAGAGTCATTCCACATGACACTCTTGGGCGGATACAAAGCTGGTATATACAGAGGAACCATTGAACATGTGAGGAAGACAGTACTGTAGAATGTGTATGGGTTTTATGGTATGTGTATCATTCTTTATACATAATGTTGAGTCTGTATGTGCAATTATTTAATACTTTTATGTATCACATGTATAACTTCTGTTGTACATCTTGGTAGATAGGCATTTGCTTCAGTGCTTTCAGTATGCACTGCTGTGTAGAGCCACACCAAAGCATATTGTGAATTAATTTCTGATTAATTATCTGCGTAGCTGCCAGTTGAAGACAGCTGGAAAGGTGATTTCACATCCCGCTTTTATTCCCATGCATAACTACTAGACCATGCATGCATATACAGACCTTTTTACAGTTGTATTTTCAATGGGTTTTATTGTGAAATAGTGAAGTGGCACTATTTTTCTCAATTGTATTGTCTGAAAGAGTGAAATGCCACTTGTGTCTCCAATATAAACAAAAATGGATGAAATTGGTTTAATTGATTGATCAATTGAGTCGACTGTGATCAATCCTTAGTAGAGACTTGTGTAGCACCTTTTGTCATTAATTGTTTTAGCAAGGAAGAGAGAAGAGAAGGAGAGAGAGAGAGAGAGAGAGAGAGAGAGAGAGAGAGAGAGAATGAAGCAATTAGAGTGGGGGTAAAATAAATTAAAGTGGGAGAGGAGATGAAGAGAGAGAATCATGAGAGGGAGAGACGTGAGTAATGAGAATCAGACACAAAGAGATACATACTAACAAGCGTGGGATTGTTACTGAGAAATTATGTTCGCTGGTCGTAATCATCATCCCCATTACCTGACCTGTTTACTATGCACTGTACAATTAGCGTTTGAGTTCTGACCAATTAGCTTTATGGGGAACATTGTCTAGTGATCATGTTTTATTGTTATTAGTTTATGTTTGATGTCATGCAGCTGTACACTTAGCTGTTTAGACACCGAATTACGCTTGATTTTTGCTTTGTGTACATGCTTGTGTAACTATTAAGAGAAGAGGGGAGAGAGAAAGAGAGAGAGAGAGAGAAAATGAGAGAGAGAAAATGAGAGAGAGGGGGGGGGTGAGAATGAGAAGAGGACTTATATAATTAGCAAGAGAAAGAGAGTGAGAGATTTAATTAGTGAATGTATGATTAGTTCTCTCTGTGCGTATCCGGCATATCTTTTTGTGTGAAGGTATGATGGAATGTATTTTTACAGACACGCACTTTAACATGGAAATGAGTGGGAGTGAAAAGTGACATATGGTCTCGAGTGGGTGAGCGTATTCAAACGATTACAATTTTAGTGAATGAAAGGGCAGAGAGGGAGGGGATGGAGAGTAGTGAACATTGATGTTTATAGTTTAGTGGGTGAGAATGAGCATATACATGATGAGTGAGTAATTAGCTATTGTTGTATCAAGTTATGACAAAATTGCAATAATAGGAATTGCTTACCTACTACGCATTTACAACCCCAGCATATATCATTCACTGCTAGATACTATGTATGCTAGTATGCTGTGTTGAATTTATAATATGCATGTTACTATTAGTTCTGTGTATTCTCTCTGTGCATATGTGGTTAGTGTATAGTATTGCTTTTATTGTGTTGTGAGAAGTTCTGAGGCTGCGACAGCTGGTGAGAGAGGAAATGAAAGGCTTGACATTCCCATTGTCACTAATGCAGTCCGTCTCTATCCCTTTGTCTGTAGCTAATGTCTGTCTGTATATCAACATGACTAGTCCTGTTAGTATATGCACTGTTGTCTATATTCATTGTAGACTATGCTAGTGTCCATACTGCACTCCATGTATAGTAATATTTGCTTAGTATAAGTTCTGTGTACATGTACATATATGTATTGACCTAAAACATGAAAATGTACGTCTACATATTATGAATGACTGTAGAAGTAATTTTTAACATTCTGATACATGTACTACTAAACTAGAAGTTTGTAGTGCGTTATTTAAAATAAACAGCTGTAATTCCACACTATACCTGAGGCTAAGAGTCCTCAGCTGTATAGACTTGTGGTATGGCAGTGACAGCTGTGAGAAGGAGGAGGCTCTTCCAACTAGTGGGCCCACTAGATAAGCCACTCAATGACTTCAGCCCATAGGGTATGTACTGCCTGCCACTTTTGGGCTCTGTTTTTATTGCATTTTAATCTCTTAATTGTTGGTCTTGTAGTATATTTGTATTTGATTGCTGGTTTGGTATTTTGTTTGATGTTTGACCATCGATCATCCTGTGACGTATTGCTATGCATAAGTGAATTAGAATATGTTTCTCTTTTAGTTATTTGATGACATGAGGATGGTAAGACCTACAGTTATTACATCGACCCCACGTTTCTTCTTAACAATATACAACAAGTACCAGCAGGCGCTACTGGAGGAATACCGCCAGTACCTCAGTAAGTCTTTATACTCTTCTCTCTGTGTAATAATGGAGGGACTGTTTGTTAATCTTTATGTTGCATAAAGCACATTATACATGTAGGGAAGAGCTTTTGACTGCTTCAATCAACTACTAGTAGTATATTAGCATAATAGTTACTATTATTAATATCATTATTATTATTATTATTATTATTATTATTAATATCATTATTATTATTATTATTATTATTATTAACTATTCTGTTATTGCATGCACATTCCACTCATTGCCATATAACCACAGGTAAACAGGATAAACCTGTTTCTCAAACCGGTACTGACGAGCCACCTTCACCCGATTCCCTTGATTTGTCGCAGGCTCCATACGAAGTGAAGGATATAGTGAAGGACCGGTTTAATGAGTATTTCGGTGGTAGAGAGAGGCTAATTGGAGTGGGTGGGGCCGCTGTCCCTCCTCCTTTGATCCAGTTTTTGTCTCGTGTCTTTAACGGACTTGTTCAAGATGGCTACGGGACGACAGAAGTACAGCTAAATTATCCTAGCTATTAATGATTAACGTTAAAGCATGTCCTCAATAAAAGGATCATACAGACCTTGTAATTACTATTTCCTTGGTATTGTAATTTTTCCTTGTTGGGTGATTTGTAGGATCGCATGATCTAATTATTGTTACTGTAGCCATAATAGCATTGTCATTGAAACTATGACTGCTATCTCCTCTATTGCATTGTAGGAATATAATTGTGCTATGTACAACATTGTATAATGTTAATCAGTCAATATGAATTGGTTGTTTTGAAGCCGATTTTGCCATATATTAGTATCTTTGGTATTTTTCTAAAAATTTGCTTTAAAACTCCCTAAATTTCTCATGCCAACAATGCCTTTAGTTGATTCCAATAACAATTCTTTTAAGTTGATGAGCCACAAAAAATCTAGTCCAGATGCCTTGGGCTGCTTATAGCTTAAATCTTAACGATCAGTTCTTGCTATTGTAACATAAGCTAAATTTGAGCCACTTTTGAATTTCAAAATATCAAAAAAGTATTCAAGTTTTATCCTTTTAATTGTTACTCTGTGCCCTGTAGGCTGGTGGTATTGCTGGAGGTGGGTATACCTACAGTGGTGTTCATGTGAAACTCCGTGACGTCCCAGAGATGGGATACCTGACCACAGACATACCCCCAAGGGGAGAGATCTGCGTTAAAACTGACACCATGATATCCGGGTATTATAAAAACACCAAAGACACAGACGAGAAGTTTCAAGATGGCTACTTTTGCACTGGAGACATTGGGACAGTGGATTCAATTGGGCAAGTCACGATCATCGACCGAAAGAAGAATATATTCAAACTGTCGCAGGGAGAGTTTGTTGCTCCCGAGAAACTTGAGAATATATTTGAGAATGGAAGCAGACTTATAGAACAAGTTTTTATCCATGGGAGCATATGGAGAGATGGTGTCATTGGTCTTGTTGTGCCTCATAAAGATGCCTTGGAGAAATGGTGGATAGAAAACAACACAATAGAAGAAGGTAAATTATAGAGATTAATATAATACTGCAGCATGCACATGTATGTACATATGCAGTTATAGTCCATGCATCATGTGGACTGATACAGGCATAGTACCACCATGACAGATACTTGTAGAATGTATGTACATGCATTTCTAATGAATATACATGTATATATATAATGTTGGTATTGTGTCTTGTAGGACTTTGTACATGCTGCTAATGAATGTAGTGTCTACAATCCTTAAACTCCTTATAATTGAACTGTGAAATTGAGCAACTATAGCAATTGTGAAACCATATTTCCAGTCATAATTGCCATAATTACTGCACATGACTCCTGACCACTCTCATCCACCACATGTCACTACATCAACAGGACCAGACTATTACAATCCTTTTATTAAATACCAGAGCTTGAACCCATTGAGCAATCCCTGCATTTATTGCATTAAGAAACCATGAAAGAGAATGAGATATTTGTGCAAGGCCTTATAAAACTGCCTTCTCTAATAATAATTTATACAATTCGTGAACCAACAGCCTGTTTAAAACAAGTTCGACTAGTTTTATTTCCTGTGTACTTGTTTATTGATATTATTGTGTTCAATTTGATCCACTTCTCGTTTACATTCTCTCAATCCTTCACTTGATATGCTAGCTATTATCAGACATACCTCTCTACCTAATGCTAATTGATGCGTGTGAACAAATGCATCCTTAGAAATAAACAAATAGGAATTATATATCGCGATCATGCACAAATTTGGCAGATTCCACTCATGCCGTACTCATCATAATATCCAGCATCTGATTGCAATGACTAGGTTTAAACAATTGAAATCAAAATCCACCCACTAATAAGATTATACTGTTATTCCTCCTACACTACACCACACGCAGTAGCTGCAGGGTTTAGTGCACTAATTTGCACTCTCTGTCAGTCTCTTAAAATTCTAATTCTCCACCTTTTCTTTGATATGTGATATTCCTTTGTATTCCTCAATTATACAGCACCTGTGCAGCTCTACGTCCCTCCCCCCCTCTCTCTCTCATATTTGTTATTGTTCTACAAAGTAGCATATTTATCATTACTATCATGCATACTGTATGAATGTAATAATAATGTTCAGTGCATTTACATTATGCAGTGATTCAAGCATACATGGACATACTTACACATACTTACACATGTAATACAAAAGTGCTGGGTTGTTTGTTGCGGTTAAGAGCATTCTTTCATTCTGAGCATGATTGCTTAGCACCATGCGTGAATTCATTTACTGTACGCATTACTTTATATTATGAGAATGCTAGTCCAGGATGTTTTTTTGATGGATTTTTTAAATGATACTCTATCTCCATGTAATGCATGACTTACTGTATGTCAGGAGGGGGATTTGTAATGCACATATGTGTACACTAGTATGTGCGTGTGTGTGTACTAGTTATTTCTGTATAATAATCATAAACTAGTAAACATACATTGAGATCAGATACTTTGTCATCCTTTATTAACTTTGCAGCTGTTTCTAATGCATGACTCCTGACCCTGTTGGAATGACTTTTGATCAAATGTCTTCATTCACATGAAAACCGGAATGACTAGCTGTAACGTCAGTCATCCTCATGACAGTAGCCCAAGAATGTTGTTCATGATATTTGAAGTACTATTCCCAGCAGCTGCTGCCTTTCCTGCCTTTTTGTTCATGCATCTTTTAAAGCAGTGGATTATTGAACTCACCTTTTTAATAGTCTTTGATGTGCTTCTGGTGTATAATGTTTCTCACACAGTAGCCATTACGATCCAGTGCACATGTACATGTATGTGGTCTGATTAAATGTCACCATGTGATGTGCATTAAAGACCTTGTGGTTTTATAATGGCTAAATTCACATTTCTGAGGCATTGTGTTGGAAGCCATTAATTATTGTATTTTGTGTGCTTCATTTACTATATCTCTTTCCCTCTCCTCTCTCTTTGTTATTTTTTATTTCCAGACAGTTCAGTACCTGATATAAAGGACCTGTGCACATTGAGGCCTGTGGTTGATTTATTTCTGAGTGAGTTAAGGAGGGTAGGAGAGAAGCACTGTCTCCCTGGCTGGGAGATACCTTCGTCAATCCTGCTGGAACCTAACCCGTTCAGCCAAGAAAACAAACTACTGACGTGCACTTTGAAGAAGTCTCGGCCACAGCTGGAGCTGAGGTATAGGGAAGAGTTAGAGAGATTATACGAAGAACCTTCCGGAGATAAAAAGACGTCAATTAAGAGGTGAGGAAGAAAGAGCTAGGGAAATGAGAAAGAAAGGGCAAGCAATGAAGGAAAGATAAGAAATGTAGCTGCATTCATGGGGAGTAATCTCTTTATTAAGTACACTGTGCATAGCTAGCATTTGTAACTCAACTTAGTTACACGTACATTTTTACTTCTAAGCTAATGGGCACACCTAGAACTGCATGCAGCTGGACATCTTTCATGATGATGACTTCATGCCTTTCGCTACTTCATTATATCATCAGAGATAACTGGAGCCGGCTCCGATATCATCTTGTGTTCATTAGAACTGGAACAGTTTTTAATGAGGAAAGGATAGAGGCCAGACTACAGACACACCTAGTTCTTGGGAATTTGTATTTATTTGTTGTTGGGAATGTTTTTAGGCGTATACCGATAATGAATTGGTAATTGTATTCAGTTTGCAAAACAAGCTGAGTAATCTTTATTACTACTGTCGACATGTCATTGCTCAGGGAATTGGTCGACTTACATTTTAATATGGCGAGTTCATTATTTTGTAATTATGTTTCAATTTTTTGTTTTTCTCCCCTTTTCTCTTTAATATGTAGATCTATAGAAGATAATGTTATGATTCATTTGATATCAGTGATGAAGAATAATGGTATACCTATTCCTCCATCATGTTCCTTGTCAAAGTATTCTACTGATGATGCTCCTCCTATTAATGTATCACTTACTCTTACACAAATGGGTGGAGACTCTCTTGCCGCAATGTTTCTATCTAATCTCATTCAGGATGAACTGGGTGTCGCTGTACCAGCTCTTAAAATACTTAAAGAACCTCTTTCATCTCTTTTTTATTTTGTCGTCTCTCAAATTTCACCTTCAAAGGCACTAGAGTTTAAAGACTCACCATTTTCTAGTCAAACCGGTCATGCAAGTTTTGAGAGTGGACCAGGAAGGAATGATGCAGAGATTAACTGGCAGAGAGAGACTAGCATTCACTTCTTGCATGTGTCGTCATCTGTCACCAAACTATCGGATAGAGATGACATTCCTAGAGAACTTGATGATGAAGAGAGAAGTGAAGAAGTAACCAAGAAGGAGAATTTGACTGATGATCAAATCAAGATCTTATTAACAGGATCAACCGGATTCCTGGGGAGATTTATACTATGGAATCTTCTCAATTCTGAGAAGTGTGGTCTTGTGTACTGCTTGTGCAGGGGTGAGAAAGAATTTTCACACAATTAACCTTACCATATATATACTGCATAATTGTGATGATTTGCGTATTATGAAAGCCATTGAACCTCCTATTATAATCTTTATTAATGGATTCGGCAAATAGGAATGTTCAAAATTTACATATAATTTCAAATCTCATTATATCTATTGTTAGTAATTAATCTTATTTACAGGAGATAACGGAAAGGAAAGGTTGTTAAATATACTAAAGAAATTGCAGGTGGAATTATCTGAAATGAAAGGAGACAAACAAGGAGGAGGAGTCGAAGAAAAGAGAAGAGGAAAGGAATCGAGTTTTTCAAAAATGGTGTCAAAACTGGTTGTCTTATCCGGAGACCTTGGGTTGGTTAGACTTGGCCTCAGCGAAGGAGATTACAATTTGATTGCTAGAGAAGTTGATGTTGTCATTCACAATGGGGCCAATGTTAATCACGTTTTGTCTTATACTGGTCAGTATTTTGGTTCCTATGTACACATGTAGTTCCAATGCATTGTATTTCATAAATGGATTCTATTGGTGTAACATATTATTATACTTAGTGCCGTATTGGCGTATGCATGTGTGTGTGTGGGTGGGTGTTTCTGCATTATGTTTACATGTTGTCTTTGCATCATGTATAATATTTATATTGAGCTCAATTTGAAACTTTAATGACAGAATGGCGTGATAGAGTCACGTTGTATTGTGTCATTATAAGTGAGCTAATGCCTGGCCCATATGAGCTAATTATAGTACATAGCCCCCTCAAGTAGTAGTAGCCTTACTATTATGCCTATTGTGTAAATGTTATACATTTCATTGTATTGTTGCCTTGTTAAACTTCTTTAAAAGGCAATAAGGAGTAAACCCATAGCTTTTATTGTGTGCATATGTATCTATGTGTAACCATGCAACCAGTAGTCATAAAGAACATACCTGTAGTGCCTTGTCCACTATGATAACAGTTGGTGGCTGCATTTTTATTATTTCAATTTTTAGTCCTTTTGTGTGGTAGCATAGAAGAATTAGTGTCTTGTGATCTTTCATGTGATACTTTTGTATTTTGTAGATTTTCTCATACTCTCACTTCTCTCCATCTCCTTCTTCCTGTATACTCACATACTTCATTAGTGATGCTATGCACAGTACCATATAAATGATTCATAATAATTCCAGTAATATATGTTTTATAATCTAATTAAAAGCATAACTCTCTCACAATCTTGATATTCACCAGGTTCTCTCTCTCTCTCTCTCTCTCTCTCTCTCTCTCTCTCTCTCTCTCTCTCTCTCTCTCTCTGGCTCTCTTCACTTGCAGATCTTAAGCCTACAAATGTGACCAGTACCAAAGAGATATTGAAGCTTTGCTCTGAGAGGATCAAACACAAGTACTTGCACTTCGTCTCGTCTATTGGTGTACTTATTGAAGGAGGTGATGAGACTACAGAAGTGAAAAAGGACAGGTACGTCCATTATTGTACTTATTGTGTCTTTCTAGTCTGTGGCATGAATGGTATGTATTGGTCTTTAATTGTCATCATGTTAACTGTCACAGTATGCCTTTTCCTATAGGATGTAGTTAGGCATTTTTTCTTAGAAATTTAATTACCTGTGTTGACTTTTCTCATGTGCATGCAACGTATGTACACGTGTATTATTATTATATTATTAGTGTTGTTATTATCATTGGGTGTGTTTGTGTATTATCCACACTGCCTCCAAAGCATTATTCCATAATCTAATTCATTATACCTTTGGGCTATAGCCTTTAAATAAAACACGCCCTCATTTAATACAATTGGGTCTATAGTGGCCCATATTGGATGTATAATGTATGTGTGTGTTTTTCCACTCTGTTTCTCATTGCTTTGTTCCACTTACCTGACTGCATGGTATGCTTCAGATTGAGTTAAAAGAATGTTCCTGTTTATGCCCATGCTATGGTTTCCCCAATTAGTAAGCAATGCTAATGGCTTGTGTTAGGATTGCTCAGCTGGCATCATTTGTCAGATTATCTGATAATATAACAATGGATATATGTATAATATTTAGAATTCTCTTCCTCAACTTTCTCACTCCTACCCATACGTCCTACCTCCTATTTCTCTCCTACGTGTACACCTATTTCACTTTCTCTTCGAACTTTCTTCCTATTCTTTCTGAAGGGTTTTATTTGCATGTACATGTACATGTATGTTTGTATATAATACATGTGTGATACACTGTATTGGAAGTGTGTAGACAGCTGGTATGTCTGTCTGTACCCATTATGCTGCCAATGACCCAATTCACAGCCAATGTTAACTTTCCCAGTATTTATTATTCAATTTTTTGAAACATGCCTTTCTCTATGAGTGGGGGCACTGTTGTCATACCACATATCACATTAGTGCGTGTGGTGGATGTTATTGTGAATGTTATTGTGAATATATGCATACGTTTGTATGATCTAGTTTGCTGTTTGGATATATTTTGTGTGTTTATATGCACACATGTAATTATGCACTGCAATCATGTTATTGTGTGTTATATAAGTACATGTACCTGATACTGTATTGTCTTCGGTCTTCATTTATTGGATAAATGTGGCCTTCAGCTACAACAGACTATCATTGCACCTCATGATCAGACTTCATCACTGGGAGGCTAAAAGCCAGCTGGGGGCTTCTCTCGGCTTTTGTACCCAAATCAATTGAATGAGCATCGGGTGTGTGTAGGTGTGTGTGTCTGCCCTGTTATAATTAATGGAGTGACCATTTGTATGTGTGTACATGTTCCTTAAGTATGGGATGAATGTGCACTGTGTGTTTATGTAATTATAATTTATTGGATTAAGTATGGAAACAACAACCTGGTTTACATAGCATTTACTTTCTCCCTTCTACCCTTCCCCTTTCTATAATGATAACATTTTGACACTGTTGAGCTATTTTGACTGAGTTACATTGATACATCCAATCGACAGGTTGAGGCACTGCTCTGGTTACTGTCAGTCTAAGTGGGTTTCGGAGCAGCTGGTATTGGGGGCCATTGATAACGGGTACATCAAAGGATCTCTATCACGGTATGCTGTATTGAGTGGTAATGGTGGAAGTGGGAGAGGAGAGCAGATGGAGGTGAAAGGATTAATTAAAGACAAATAGGCTTTGGGAGAGAGAGAAAGGAATGAAGTGAGTGCTAATTTAAAGAAGGGAGAGGCGACTAAGTAAAGTATAGGATATACATGCAAGGTAGTGGGTGAAGACTAATGAGCTCTGAGAGATGGGATAGAGTGGTGAGGAAGGACCATTAAGGACAAGAGATGAAAGAAAAGAATAGATTGACTGGCATATAGGCTCTTCTTTACTATCAAGGTGTGGTGATAAGCTATTTGGTAATGTCTGGTAAATTAGGATGTGTGACATATCCTTAGGATAGAATAGAGTAAACACTACATCCTTTTACACTATCTGTCACTTCTTTTGAACCTCGAGATATTACATAACAGCTCTCTCTCTCTCTTCTTTAGTCCTGGTCTCATTGGTGCTCATAGTGTCACAGGTCACTTAAACAGGACTGACTGGTTTTATCTATTAGTTTGTGGACTCTATCACTTGAAGGCATATCCCTCCGAATGGGGCACAGGTAAAACTCTGGTCATTCCTGTGGATACAGTAGCTCAGGCAGTCGTTGCTCTGTCACTTAACAGTGAGTGTATATGTCACTAGAGGTTCCTGTGCTGTGAATTATGATTGTACTTATTTTTATAATGTACATATTATAATGAAAGGAAAGCCAGCTCTTTTGCCTTATTGTCATCATACATTGTTAACATTATAAATAGCTTTTTTTTCTATAGGGATTTCTGAGTCAAATGGGCTAGTGTACCACTTAGATAATAGAGAGTCTGTGGTTAATTTTAATGACATCATAAGGTCTTTAGAGAAGGCTGGACCAGACTCTTTGAAGCACCAAGGTAATCAAATGTACAGCCAGCTACTGTTAAAATGGGATAGATTGCATCTTTCTTTGTCTCCTTCTCCTCTCACTTGTGTTTAGCATGAAATTGGATATACTGTGAGCCAGTAAACACGATCTCTCTTTATTGCTTGTAATTGAGTGTACTGTAACATGGAGGCATAAACAGTCAAATAGCCTGTGCATCCCAGCACTCAGGAACTCTGGGCGAGGTCCTATGGATAATTAGTAATTTATTATGTCTCTCAAACACCATCTGATCATGCAGCCAAGTGTTTGCATGCTGGAATTAGGACATGAAAGCAAGGTCTCACTGCATCCCACTCTGTACCCTAAGAGATGTGTCTATGGACTATAATAATGCTGTCTATAGCTCCATATGTTTTAGTGTATTTTATGTGTGAAGCCTTTCAACTGGTTTGGTGGTATGTGGCTTTGAGATGAGTCTTAACGAGTCTTTTGAACTGAGGCTATGGTCTAGAGAAGGAGAAGGGATAATTTCAAATAGTTTGTCTCTCTTTTAGTTGGTTTTTGATGTTTCGTTTAGTGTTAATTACTGTAATTTCATTTCCCTATAACCTTCTTTGAAGAGGCTTACGAGTATTAGCTTGCATTCGATAGTGTAATAGTGACAATGTTTAGTTTCATAAGGGAATGGGCTATATTGTCATATGGTACTTTAATAAAGCTTTGGTATCTATTTCATAACTATTAGCATTCTAATAATGTGCTTGTTTCTATGATCTTTTATCACGTATGCATGCATGACATTATTATGTCCAGTGCTTGCATTCAACATTGCCAAGAAGAAAGCATGCAAATATTTGCTCTAGACCATAATTGGTCTAATATTGGTTCATTTCTTTGTCGCAGTCCCTTTTGGATTAATTATTTTAGTCTGAAGCTATATCTGGCTATTGTGAAGCTAAGCATACCAAGGATTCTTGATCTCTTGTTTGCGTCTGGTCTACACTCAAGATGTCAGCTATTGACATCTTGTGCTATAGGGACATCCCTAGTTAATGTCATATAATGTTTTATTGTATTCAGACTTACACGAGATCATTGATTAATCTCCTTTGCAATGATACATGATTTAATTATAATGGATTCTAATGACGACTTGAGAAGCTAGACAGTAGACATGTGGTATCTTGTATCAATAGTTTATGATGCTTTGTTCATACGTATTGGTTACTTCTGCAATATATTTCCTTATTAGTACCATTTACTGGCCTTTATCGTCTAATTTGTTAGCTAATTAAATGATCACATTGTTGTTATTTCCACGAAAAGCTGTACTGTGCGTGTGTGATATGGCATAATTGTTTGTACAGATGTTGCATACAGAACTCACCGTTGCAAACGAATAATTTGTCAAAATGCAAACACTGTAATGAGATGCTGAGTAAATGAACATTTTGCAAACCAGTTATCATATCCTGTTATTATTATTATTATTATCATTATTATTATTATCATTATTATTATTATCGTTATCATTATAGAAGAATCTACTTTCCTTAAAGAACTGGAGGAGGAAGCTAGAAAGAGTTATAAAGATGAAGTAAAAGGTGGTCAAATGGAATTGATCATAGGGTTGCATTTGCTTCTCTCTAGAGGCCAGAGCCCCATGCCATCATCACAACCACAAATAAGCAACAGTATCACTAGCTCTTATTTCTCCAGACACCATGGGATTGAGCTCAATACAAAGCTGGAGGGATATGCTGATAGATACATAGCATATCTAGGGCGGGCTGGAATTCTATGAATGTATCAATATTATTAAATGTGGGTAGAGCATAAAGGCTAACCAATTACAGAACAGTATTATTATAGTTAATTTTATTATGAAATACTTCAGATGTGATTTATTTATTTATGTGTGTTTGTACTATGATGTGCTGTGTGTTTTTCCTATGGCAATCACTCAATTAGAGTACGTGGGCGTTGCGGGCTTTTAAAAGCAAATGCTACAGGAGAGGGCAGCATATCTGTCAAAGAAGAAGCGTTCCTGTCTTGCTATCATCTGGCTCTCTCTATCTCCAATTGGACAAGTTTCACTGTCATTGAACAAGATGCTGTGTCGAGGCCTAAGCCTTAGAATGTCGGACGTAGGAAGAGCTCTTCTGCTCTCATGGTGAGGATTTCTGTGATGTGGTTAGAGTGAGGTGTGTCTAGAGACTTCAGTGATCTAGGGTTTCAACCATTATAAAAGGAGCTTGGTGTAGAGTTGAAACAGTCAAATAGCTATTATATAGTCTTGGGCTCCTTGACTGTCATTGGCTTTGCTGCTCAGTGCAACTGCTCCATTGATATGGCTTGTAACTTCTACTGGCTGTCCTTTCTCCTGTATGCATTGCTTCTGCATGATGCATGTCCACAGTCCATTGAAGGGAGTGGAATGAATGATAGCAATGTAGAGCCTTGGTAATTTAGTCTGCATGCATGCATGCACCAGTGATGTGCTGCAGCATGATTTAGGGCTAGCTTGTATATATACATGTAATTAACACCTTTCTCAGTTGTTTTTACATGCATAATTATGACACTATTTTTCTTCTTTTTACAGGGCCTTTATCTCTTTTACAATGGATGAAGTTACGCCATTCCCCAATCACATCATATGCCTGTACATTCCAGGGCTCAATGATGTACAGAGAGATCTGTGCATTCGGTATCCAAAACTCGTCCCTATCATTATTCAAGAGGTTCCACCGCTGTTTTACAGTGAGTGTAGAGAGCAATTTAAATATGAAAGATGGAACTGCAGTGAAACCATTCCACCGATTGCTGGAGACCTCTCAAAAGATTTGAAAAGATGTAAGGCATGCAAGCATGTGTACACAAGGGGAGTGATGAGAGAGCTGGGAAGGAAAATGATGTATACATGCATGCACAATAATTAGGAGTATTTAACTCTTTTCCAATATCAACAATACAAATGAGTGACATGTAATTTAAGCAGCATTCCCAAGATAAAACCACAGCCTGAGTACATGTATGAATAGCCTCCATGGCAACCTTTATACCTGTCATCATTGTTCTTTTATCTCTTTCTCTCCAAACACACAAACACTTGCACTCACAGTATCCAAGGAGACAGCCTTCACGTATGCTTTGACCTCTGCTATAATGGTCCGTGTCATAACAAAGGCATGCTCAGATGGACGCTTGCAAAACTGCTCGTGTGACACAAGTCGACAAGGACAGACCTCCCCTCAAGGCTGGCAGTGGGGAGGCTGCAGTGATGACGTGGGATTTGGGGTAATGCTCACTAGAGCTTTCCTGGACACTCGTAACAATGCGACCAACAAGACTGGGAATGAGTTAGAGGCATCACTTGTCAACCTTCACAATAACGCAGTCGGAAGAACGGTAAGAAATTACACATCATGCCTCACTACACATAAACAGAAGTGCATGCATTTTAAGTGCACATGAATGCATGGACAAATACTATTGCTACTATATTGCATGCATAGCTACATGCATAATTGCTTGCATACAAAGAGTAACTATTACTACTGCATGCATATCCTGCAGTAATGTTAAGGATATGCTTCAGTAAACAGCTACATGCATAGTTTCTGTGTACATACTTTAATGACAATAATTGTTCTGTCTCTAAGTGCATGTATTGGTCCTGTATGCATACTGTGCTATATATGCACTTAAATGTGGCAAAACACTGATTATAATCCAATTTCATTAACACTTCTTTTAATTGAATTCACCAATTACCACTATTGTTAAAATATTTCCTCATTGTCATTGACACTATTGCTATTCTTATTCATACACAGGTTGTTTCGGATAACATGCAAGTGAAATGTCGCTGTCATGGTGCTTCAGGTTCCTGTGCAACGAGAACATGCTACAGTCAACTCCCAACAGTGCGTGACATTAGCACTGACATGAAAATAAAATACAATCACTCAGTCAAAGTTACAGCTCATGTCAATAGAGGTACAACTGTTTTAAGATCCACGAGCAGCTCTAACACTGAAGCTGTCTCTCCACCAGTTGATTCACTGGTGCATGTCAAAAACTCTGTCAAGTACTGCATTAGGCAGAATGACTACACTGCAAACAGAAGCTGCATACCACAGAACATACTAACTCAAATTGAGAGCAATGAAGCAAATCCTACTCATTATCCTGGCTATCCACTACCAGCTTGTGAGTCACTCTGCTGCAGTGGAGAATATGAGACTGAGGAATACACTGTTTCAACCACTTGCTACTGTCATTTTGTATGGTGCTGCAAGATCTCATGCGAGGAGTGTGAAAAGACACTGACGAGATATAAATGCACTGGGTAATGTGATTTCAAGGCTCAATCGTTTTCTCTTCTTTCTGTGTCATCTCTTTCTGTTTGATATTACTGGAATAAACTATATTGAAGTAGCTGTACAATTTGTGTAGTAGGAGTAAAATACATTATTATTATTATTATTATTATATCATTGGGCACTACTCTCAGCAGAGTAACAAACAATATACACACACACATACTGTATACATTATATGAGATGTATTGTTCAATCAAGTACAAGCACTTTATTATGTTGTTGTTTATAATTTGTGATCAATCATTCATTTTATTTAAACATTCTTCATTTAATAAACAAACATAACATCATCATACAAAGATGAACTAGAGCTGTATGTGGGTTATTATTAAAAGGGAGGGAGAGAGGGAGGGGGAATGAAGAAAGGGTGTGGTATTCAAAATGAAAAATATACCAAGAGTTACATACTAGCTCTTTTTCTTCTTCAGTCTTAGTTTTCCATTTTTGTCTATCTCTACCTCACAGCCTAACGAGTCTTCCAACTGACTAGCAACATTGATGCTTCCTTCTCCTTGATTTCCTCTCTTCTCTATATTTCTTATTATTTCTTGATTAGCTGGATTCCCTTCACATATATTACGAATGGCCCAAAGAGACCACTGTTGTATATCTAAAAGAGAGAGAAAGAGTGAGAGAGAATTATAGGCTCAAGAAAAGAGAGTAGTAGATACAGTGAATAGAAAGAGATACAAATGAAGGAAAAAATAGTTTTAAGTTTAAATCACTGAATATTATGACTAATTACGACTAATAATGACAGAATTTAAAAGCAGCAGCTGACAGCTGTAGCAGATTCCATGCCTTAAAACAATAATTCTGATTTACTAAACATGTCTCTAGGACTTGATGCGTGTAAACTAAATACAATGTAACACATGTAAGTGTATGAAGCTTTAGCTCAGTTGTACTCTTGCTACGTGGAATTCCCCAAACGGCAAGTAGACATATTAAATATCTAGGACACAGACAAAACTAAACTAATTATAAAGAGGCATTACTAATAAAAGATAATAAATCAATATTGTAGTATTTGCCAACACAAAATCATTTGGTAGAACATGCATAGATTAGATACAGATATAGTGCACTACATAAAGCCAAGATTGCATAATCATAATCCACTATACAGCCAACAATCCTACCAATCTCTTTCAGAGCATACTGTACACATAGGCTATACTATATAATATCCTATGGAATGATTCTATGCATTGAGCCAGTAAACACAGGTAGGTTGGTCTTTGTGTGTGTGGTTCAAGGACTGTCATATAATGTATTTGTATTTGGCCACCAGGAATCACAGTGGCTAGTGTACTGTGGTGACATGGTCGACAGATAATAAGATATTTTTGCTAATCTTCAAATGAATGTCATTGATTGAGTAGTAACATGGGATAATATGTCACGCTTTGTGATTTTTCACAAAACACCACATACTGCACTAATTGTTTTGCAGTAATTTAAAAATCACAATTAGAATATTTTAAAATTTTGGAGAGACAGGATAGCCCCAAGCAAATAATAGCATAGACCAGGATCTGGACAAAGGAAAGTGACATGAGACTAGCCGCTCTGGGATTTATATTCTGATTATAATGGGCAATTAACTTATTGAACTTATTCACAAAATATAGTACTTATACAGAATGTGTGTGTGTGTGTGTGTGCATGTGTGTGTGTGCGTGTGTGTGTGTGTGTGCGTGTGTGTGTGTGTGTGTGTGTGTGTGTGTGCGTGTGTGTGTGTGTGTGTGCGTGTGTGTGTGTGTGTATGTGTGTGTGTGTGAACTTACATGGATTCATGTGTTCAATGTTGCACTGGTTGAGAAGAAGTGGAATAGAATCATGAACCTATACAGTAATATGTAAAAATGTTATTATTGATAATATGAAATGTACATGGCATTATTGTTTGTAAAAAGTTTCCTATCAAAATTGAATCTTTACAATTTTTAAAGTTGCTCAAAAACTGGGCTTAACCCTGTACTATAGTACAGGGTATTTTGTCAAAAAAGACTTCAAAAGAATTTTCCACTTTTATAATTTTTCTGATACATAATACATATATTTATGTTACATGTACTTATTTTCATAATTTGAGCTGATTTCGATTAAAATTGGATTAAAAATGTTTTAATTGCTCCAAAATCTGGCAAAAGTCCCCTGTATACTATAGGCTGGCATTTCATCAAAAATTGCTCCATAAAATTTTATGGCTCTAAGAGAATTTGACACGAGAACAGCTGAAGTGCAAGGACCTCAATGACCAGGCTACATGATTCGATTTATGAAGTTTAATAATTAACATTTTACCTGATCTTGGTTCTTCTTGCATTGATAGCACAAATTCCCAATCAAACGAACCAGATCTCTTTTAATCCCGTACAAGGGATGAGCAGTCAAATCACTAGAAGAGGAGAAGGAGGAGTGACTGACATTTCTAGCAGACTCAAGGCTACCATCAAGTTTTGACAAAGAGGAAAGAAAATCTATTGAAATAATAACAAGAGCACATAATAATAAGTAGCAATTAATGCTACACATAGTACTAAGAATGCTGGACAAACTTTTAGAACCATACTTTATGTTATATTATTACAACAATAATAATTGTTCACCCCTTGTCTCTTATAATAATAATAATAATAATAATAATAATAATAATAATAATAATAATAATAATAATAATAATAATAATAATAATAATAATCCTTACCAATTGAAGAATGAAGGATTAAGCTCTCCTTTTCCTGAATTACTTGTAGGAGACTGTGACAAGAAGAAGACTGACAGAGTAGGCCAAGAACAGATACCAAGTGCTTCAAAGTAATAACTGCACTATCTTCCAATGACCGATAAGTAGATTCAATACATTGCAATGATGCCAAGAGCTCTTTATGGTCAAATAATAATTGTGTCACTAGTAATTGGTACTGGTCCATTAAGTAATGCAGGTTTGAGTGAGAATGTAAAACTGATTGGAAGAATGATTGTGCTTTTGAACGAAGAAGGAAAGCTTCATCATCTGCCACTAATGACTCTTCATCCTCTCTTGATGAGTCAGGTACTGGAATCAACAGAAACAAGGCATATAAAGGTAAAAAAAATTAAATAACAGAGAGAAAATAGAGAGTGAATTACCTCCTAATTCATCACAATAGGCCAATAAAAACTCTAACAGTGACACCCTGTAGCAATACAAGCAATCATATTACTCAAAACAAACACATATACATACTACATTAAACATTTCAAATACGCACGCGTGCGTAATTAATTGGCATGCCTGTACCTTTCCCTGGGGTAAGATGAGAGTGTGCTGTGGCAAAGTGTAGAGAGTGGTGCGATTGATAGTAATTCCTCAAGCACTAAAACCCTAAAAATGTCAAATATTAAGACGGTAGCCAGCACAAAGGAGCTCTCAGACACAATGACATGTTTTTTTAGCTACTACATGTTATCCTAATTACTGCACACAAGAGCATGACGGGGTTGCCTCAGAGATTACTATAAAATTGTCAAACAAACCAAATTCCAGCCCAAAAAGCATCACAACACATTCTCCATCTATTTATATATGATTGGCTAATAGATGTTTTTCCATGCATGTACAAACAAGCATTATAATTGGAATAATTGACTGGTTACATAGATGTATAATGGCTATTACAGTATAGTACAAAATAATAGTAATGAATATAGCATAGTATAGGATACTATATATGGTAGATTATTTTTTATACTATTGTTAAGTATTGCAGAGAGTAATACACAAATATACACACACACACAATAAAGTAAAGTATTGATAATTTATTGATTCTTGTGGTTGGTGAGCAGCTAATGTAATAAATTAAGCAAACATGCAATCAAAGAGGTACCCAGTTAAGCTATAAAGCAGCTATTCTCCACCTGTGACATTTCTTTTACGAAAAACAATAACAAGCAAAGGGTAAATGACATAGCAGTAATTGTAAGAAATTACGAGCCCCTTTCTCCCACGAATCTTTCCAGTCAGTCTGAAAGACTATGGGATACATTGAAATGAAGAGATTCATAATGAGAGAATGAGTTGGAGTGCACAACAAACAAACGCTTACGCCCATTCTGTCCCTGACTCCTTCAAAGTCTTCAAAGAATTTAAAATTAAGCTAATAATGGTACCATCAGTGTCAACAAACAGTGACTTCCTAGAGAAAAAAAAGAGGATAGAAAATAGCAAATAAAGAGAGAGAGAGAGAGATGAGGTGCTATAGCATAAAGAGAGACAAAGGTTTGCCAAGTGTAGCAAGACACATTTATAAGTTTGTCTACTTTCAAGGGTAAACATTTACCAGCTGGTATTATAATTAAAAATTAAAACTATAATTATAAACTGGAGGGGAGGCCAAGAGTTTGACGTCACCAATAAAAGCAAACATATTATTAGCATTTGTAATGAGTTGTATCACAACACATTCACACACACTATTGATGATCACTGTGACATATTACATTCTTTCCTGAGCATTTCCTCTAATGCAATTAAATATTACCATGCAGGTGGCCTCGAAAATGCTTGAACTATTCATTGAAAGCAAAGACCTATAAGAGAAAACGAAAAACAAGCAATTAAACTCACATTAACTTCAAGTTACAGCCTGCACTGCAGCCTGTGTAGTGTTATTACTTGAAGGCAATGGGATATAAGGCATACCAGACTTCTCCCTGACTGCTGTCATTGGTTACACAAATGTTACCAATGAGTTGAGTAAGGCATGCTACTACAGGCCCATACTGATCTGTGTATAAAGAGACAGGAAGCAATTACTGAGTAAGGACACACACATACACAATATTCGAATGACTGCATATTTTACATGCAGACATAAGCAAAGGCAGACTATAAGATATGCTGTGCATGCTAACTGTACATGCACTGTCTTTTACTCCCTCATTATATAATTGAGTTATTACTTTAGCACATTAAGTGTTATGCCTTGATCCTATATTTTAGCTTTATCACAATCTTATGTTGTACTATGCATGATAATAATTGTGAGTATCAACAATCAAAAAACAAGAAAAATGTCACAGATTAGGTATAGTCCATAATGAATAAAAACTAGACTTATTATATACTTGGATACATATCAGCGCCATTATGTCACACAAGACAATTCCATTCACATACTTTGTGCATGAAATCAGAAGGTTGTAGCAATTTATGCTTAAAAACATGTACACACAGCCAAAGTTTCTTAATGTTCATTGATGCTCATGAAATTGTTTAAACTTTGAAATTAAAAATACAAATGGGGTAGCAATTTTCATTGCTGGTCTGCATTTTAGTATGCTGGTCTATATTTTAGTATGCTGGTCTGTGTTTTAGTATGCTGGTCTGTGTTTTAGTATGCTGGTCTGTGTTTTAGTATGCTGGTCTGTGTTTTAGTATGCTGGTCTGTGTTTTAGTATGCTGGTCTGTGTTTTAGTATGCTGGTCTGTGTTTTAGTATGCTGGTCTGTGTTTTAGTATGCTGGTCTGTATTTTAGTATGCTGGTCTGTATTTTAGTATGCTGGTCTGTGTTTTAGTATGCTGGTCTGTGTTTTAGTATGCTGGTCTGTGTTTTAGTATGCTGGTTTATGTTTAAGTATGTTCAAATAGCCTTGATCTTAAATACTCCACTTACTCACATAGTTCAAAATTGTCATTGTTCCATAAAATAAACCTCTTCAGTTCATCTAAAAACTGGGTCTGACTACAAACAACTTGATTAATAACTAATTATAATTTATAAAACATTTCAACTGCTGAGTACTGACCCAATTTGATTCTGATTTCTTTTAACTTGAGCACAAAGATTACGTAGTAATTTAAATACTAAAACAAGAACTGCTAGTTGTTCATTACTAGGAGCACCAGTGCCAGTACAGATCACATCAATGCAGTAACAAGCTATGCACTTCAGGATGTCAATCTGTTCATATGTAAATGATTCTCTGCGTATTGTACAAATAATACAACGAGTTTTCCACATTTTACCTAATTTTTAGATCAAGTGAGAGATTTAAAAGATCATTGAGAGTCTGCTGACTGATCGAAAGAGGCGACTCTCTAAATTGTAAAGTAAGATTGGACATCAAAGCCTCCATTTGTCACAACTTAATATGGGTAGGCCAGCCACACCTTTGGTAGATCTAGTTAACGCCCACGCAACAAGCCCTTTGCAAAAATGGAGTATTGGAATCAAGCAGCAGATGTCTTTATGTCTGATCGTTTCTGTCTCTACAGGAACATAGCAGCTGTCATTGGTACTGCTTATGTGCTTCGTTTCTTATTAAAGAAGTTGTGGGCACTGAGTGGTGGGTTTTGTGCTTATTTCTTAGCTCCTTGGGGCATATCAAGAATTAATATAAAGAAATATGGCTCCTGGGCAGGTTAGAAAAAGATAAATTTACTGATTATTTAATATGTTTATTATGTATATACATAGTTGTTACTGGAGCATCTGAAGGAATTGGAAGAGGATATGCTCTTGAGGTGAGAGAAGAAATAGAAAACTAATGAGGTCATCTTTTAACAGCTAGCAAGACAAGGTCTGAACGTAGCCATAATGAGTCGCTCAAGAGAAAAACTAGAAAAAGTTGAGGAAGAGATCAGTAAGTGTACAGTCAAATCAATGATTTGAATCATTTCAATATCAAGGATCAAAGTATAATCGTGATGTTCGTGTGATACCAGTTGATTTCAGTGAAGGACAAAGTGTCTATGATGATATACAAGCAGAGATATCTGATCTGGATATTGCTATTTTAGGTATACTGCCTTTAAAATGAATTGAATACTATCAGTATCATTATCATCATTATTATTGCAGTTAATAATGTTGGCACTGGTACTGGTAATGATTTATTTTTTGGTCAAGTTGATCCATTAGTAAGTTTAATATTACGATCTTGATTGTTATTGTAGTCAATAGCAACATCGTAAAGTTATTGAGCTCAACTGTCAGTCAATGATACAAATGACTCATCTTGTTCTGCCCAAGATGTTGGAAAAGTAACTAGACTATTAAGCTAATGAACACTTCCAATAAATTTTTTTCAGAAAGAAAGGGATTATTGTTAACATTGCTTCTGTAGTTAATCTGTTCCCTTTGCCATTGTCCAATGTCTACTCTGCATCTAAAGTATTGTTATTCTCTTTTAGTGGATTACTGACTTTTTATTCATATTCTATAGATATTTGTTCTCTATTTTTCAACTGCACTTCAAACTGAATATAAGAGCAAAGGTATTATTGTTCAGGTAATGCTATACTTAAATAATTCCTTATGGAATTAGAGTGTGTAATAAGTTACCTGGAGAATATATTTACCCAGTATAAAGATACCAATATACTATAGTGCATATTGTACCAAAAATGGCTACGAGAGAATTCTTTACTTTTATATTTTTTTCTGATACATATACATGTTTAAAATAATGTTGTGTGGAAATTGGAGCTCATTTTGATTAAAATTAGATTTAAAATTAAAAAAAAATTTATGCACCTTTGTGACATGGTAACTCTTTATGCAGTGTAACTCACCTGGTTATGTTGCCACTCAACTTATTGGATTGAAGAAAGCAACATGGTGGGCAGTTGATCCTGTTGCCTATGGACGATCTTCTGTTGCAACCATAGGACTACAGCATCACACTAATGGTTGTCTATACCATGTAATACAAGTAAGGGAAATGGAATTAAAATTACTAATTTTTCTTTTTTTGTAGGCATTTATATATAAGTCACTATTGGGGCAAAAAACATCTATCATTATAATGCAAGTTTGGGGAAAATTTAAGCAGAATTGGACGAAATAAGTTGAATGAAAAGAAAACTCTGTTGTAATATTTTATGAGACGTTGTAGTAATAAGTTTTTAAAATTTTAATGTCAATAAGACAAGAAACCACACCTTTTAAATGGAGTTTTGGCAAGAGTAAATTCTAAAAAATGTGTTCTTCCTACTGGAATCAAGCAGTAGATATCTTTATGTCTGATCGTTTCTGTCTCTACAGGAACATAGCAGCTGTCATTGGTACTGCTTATGTACTTCGTTTCTTATTAAAGAAGTTGTGGGCACTGAGTGGTGGGTTTTGTGCTTATTTCTTAGCTCCTTGGGGCATATCAAGAATTAATATAAAGAAATATGGCTCGTGGGCAGGTTGAAAAAAAGATAAATTTACTGATTCTTAAATATGTTTATTATGTGTAGTTGTTACTGGAGCATCTGAAGGAATCGGAAGAGGATATGCTCTTGAGGTGAGAGAAAAATAGAAAACTAATGAGGTCATCTTTTAACAGCTAGCAAGGCAAGGTCTGAACGTAGCCATAATGAGTCGCTCAAGAGAAAAACTAGAAAAAGTTGAGGAAGAGATCAGTAAGTGTACAGTCAAATCAATGATTCGAATCATCTCAATATCAAGGATCAAAGTATAATCGTGATGTTCGTGTGATACCAGTTGATTTCAGTGAAGGACAAAGTGTCTATGATGATATACAAGCAGAGATATCTGATCTGGATATTGCTATTTTAGGTATACTGCCTTTAAAATGAATTGAATACTATCATCATCATTATTGCAGTTAATAATGTTGGTACTGGTATTGGTGGTGAATCATATTTTAGTCAAGTTGATCCATTAGTAAGTTTAATATTACGATCTTGATTGTTATTGTAATTAATAGCGACATCGTAAAGTTATTGAGCTCAACTGTCAGTCAATGATACAAATGACTCACCTTGTTCTGCCCAAGATGTTGGAAAAGTAACTAGACTATTAAGCTAATGAACACTTCCAATGAATCTTTTTCAGAAAGAAAGGGATTATTGTTAACATTGCTTCTATACTATGTTTGTTTCCTGTACCATTATCCACTGTCTACTCTTCATCAAAAGTATTGTTGTGCCTCTTGTGTATCATTTACTGTCCACTATTCTATAGATATTTGTTCTTCATTTCTCAACTGCACTTCAAACTGAATATAAAAGCAAAGGGATTATAGTTCAGGTAGTGATAATGGCTGAGAGAGATTTAATTAAAAACTACCTATTCTATGATGTATTGTAACTCTTTATGCAGTGTAACTCACCTGGTTATGTTGCTACTCAACTTGTTGGATTGAAGAAAGCAACATGGTGGGCAGTTGATCCTGTTGCCTATGGACGATCTTCTGTTGCAACTATAGGACTACAGCATCATACTAATGGTTGTCTATACCATGTGATACAAGTAAGGGAAATGGAGAGATATACTTAAGTTAATATTCTTTTTTGTAGGCATTTGTACTTAAGTTGCTACTGGGACAGAAAACATCTATCAATGTAATGAAAGTTTGGGGGAAAATAAAGCAAAAATGGGCAAAATAATGAACTATTCATAGTATGTTGTATGACACTTCAAAGTTTAAATCAAATCTATTAAATCATGCAAATTTAAATAGCCACACCTTCAGTAAATTCAGTTGTCACAAACGCAAAATGGAGTACTGGAATCAAGCAGTAGATATCTTTATGTCTGATCGTTTCTGTCTCTACAGGAACATAGCAGCTGTCATTGGTACTGCTTATGTGCTTCGTTTCTTATTAAAGAAGTTGTGGGCACTGAGTGGTGGGTTTTGTGCTTATTTCTTAGCTCCTTGGGGCATATCAAGAATTAATATAAAGAAATATGGCTCGTGGGCAGGTTGAAAAAAAGATAAATTTACTGATTATTTATAAATATGTTTATTATGTGTAGTTGTTACTGGAGCATCTGAAGGAATTGGGAGAGGATATGCTCTTGAGGTGAGAGAAAAAATAGAAAACTAATGAGGTCATCTTTTAACAGCTAGCAAGGCAAGGTCTGAATGTAGCCATAATGAGTCGCTCAAGAGAAAAACTAGAAAAAGTTGAGGAAGAAATTAGTAAGTGTACAGTCAAATCAATGATTCGAATCATCTCAATATCAAGGATCAAAGTATAATCGTGATGTTCGTGTGATACCAGTTGATTTTAGTGAAGGACAAAGTGTCTATGATGATATACAAGCAGAGATATCTGATCTGGATATTGCTATTTTAGGTATACTGCCTCTTAAATGAATGACACTATCATTATCATCA